TGTTCTTTTGCTTGAATGTGCTTGTGTGAACATGTGGATTACAGGTGATATCTTAGCTGTCATTTCTCAGAAGTTGCCCACCTGGATCTTTGAGACAAGATCTCTCAATTGCTTGGACCTCACCAGTTAGCCTAAGCTGATTGGCAGTGAATCCCAAGGGATGGATACAGTCCCAACCTGTATCAATCTCCTTTGGGGTGGGATTATAAGCACATATTATTACGCTCAGCTCAGCATTTTTTAATGTGCTATTCTGGGGATTGAACTCAGGTCTTGTGTTTGTAAGATAAACATATTACCAACTGAAGCTTATCTACAGTCCACACTAGTTCTGGTTTTAGTCCTGGAGTGCCATGGGGATGCTCATTCTTATAGATGCTGCTGATGCTCCTTGGGATACAGGCTAGTTCCTCACCTCTCTGTGGTGAAGGAACAGAGAAAAAAGTAGGATATGAGCTTAGTCTCAAAAAAAAATCCACATCTGTATGTGTAGGCTACACAATGAGACACTGAAATCACTTGTTACAGAATATAAGCAGCTCACATCTATAACAATGATCTATATTAGAAAACAATTTCAACTTGCGTCTAATATGCTTTTGTTTTCCATAATAAACATACAGAGTTTTAAGATTTATAACCATCCAGTCATACTGTTAACCGATAATAACCATTTAACACCTGGCTCAGACAACATTGCCATCTAAAATGCTGTCATACTAAGAGCTCCAGTGTTTCCTCTATCTTTTAGAGAAAGCTATTGCATTGCAGGTTAAATAGTTCTCCCCAAGTCACACTCATGGGCCATTTGGGCAGAAGTCATTCCATGTTCGGGATACAGGACAGAATGCCCCCTTGCCTCTGCTTTGACAATGATTTCTGGAGTATCAGCCGGGGAATAGACTCCTCAGCAGACCACACAGAATCATCCTTTCAAGGACTTCCCACCCAACCACACTCCCCAAGCCAGTGTATTGGCACCCCCCATTCTCCTTTGGATGGCTTTGCTCTTGTTCCATGTGGGCCAGATGCCAGATAGAATGAAGAGAGGCCTTAGGCAGTTCTGGAAATGTCTGCTGATCAGATTTTCCCAACTGGTATGCTTACAGGTGAAAAAATGAAATGCTGGAATCCCAAAGGCCTGAGCTATAGACCTGAGAGGAATAGGTCCTTTCTCTGGCCTTGGAGCCGTGGTTGGGGTTTTACCCATCTGTGACCTTACCTATGATTATAATGTCACCAGTGACTTCTCATAGTAGTGGTCAATACCGACTTCTTGACTTCAAACCATGTTCCTAGTGTATCTTGTTGAAATAAGATAGCTGCTCTGTAAAGCTATGTAAATCAGGAATTACTTCTCTGGGCGTTTCATTAAATGAGGGATTAGGTATGAATTTTAGTAAAAGGTTTTGCATATCTAAAATTAAATCTACAAGTTTTTTTCTCATCTGTTAATAAGGTGGGACACATGCCAACAGGTTTCTGTTACCTGTTACCCTGTCATATTCCAGGAATGAATGGCACTCAGCGAATGATCTTTCTCACTTTTGTCAGATTTATATGTCGTTTTCTTATTTTCTTAATGAAAACACATGGGAAACTTTTTTCTACCCTCATATCATGGCTCAATTTTGAACCACTGTATTATTTGATCTTATATAGTTTAGAACAATAGCCATATAGAACTTTCAGGATTTTTTTCTTCTTCCACGGAATCTGCTGTATTTGAGTTTTATATAACTTAGTTTTGTAAACATGCTCTTTTTAGGTAATTACCTGTTTTGGTTTTTTTTTTTTTTTCAAGTTTGAGTTTATTTGCAAGATTTATTTTCAAGGAACCTCATACGTTTCCTATCCATTTCCCCTTCAGTGCTTCGATTATTATTGCTTATGTGAGCAATGTGTGATTTCTCATTTAAAAAAAACTTAGATTTATTAAATAAAATTTCTCCATTTTTCATATCACCTTTTCTCCTTTTATTTTTATTTTTCCCTTTATGCAGTTTCTTTCTGTCTGTCTGTCTGTCTATTTCCATAGCCTACTGAGTTGGAAATCCAGTTAATTTCCCCAGGTTCTTCCATTGACGCCAACACATACTCAAGGCTGTGATGTCCCCATGGCTGCTGCTGTGAGGCTATGATTTCCAGTTTTATCGTTACTTACCCTCTATGATTGTTCGTATTTCTCTTTTACACAATACATATTCTTGCATGATTCTTTCAAAGAAGGTTGTATTTGAAACAGTGTTTTATATTTTGATATGAAGCATTTGCTGGAATGCTTCTTTGCATGACCCAGTGTTATTTCCTTAGTAACATCACTTTTATTCCCATGATCTACTTCACAGGAAGAAGTGTTAGGATTTTCTCTTCGTATCATTCTCCCATTTTCTCTGTTGTTTGTCCTTTATAAAGGTAGTTGCTACATTATTTACTACATGCCTTTATATTTTGAATGTCCAGGGAGAATTGTGACTTTTACCATTAAGCTGATATTAAAGGTATTAAACTGATGAGATTTCTCGGTAGGTGAAATGCTCACCCTGTAAACATGAGGCCAGAAGTTCCAATCCCCAGAACCTAAGTGGGATCTGGGCACATCTGTCATCTCAGTGCCTCTGTGACGAGAAGAGAGTGAGACACCCTGAAGCTCACATGCTCTTCCGACATGTGCATGGGGACACAGTGACTATCCTCTGCTGTGCTGCACACCTGTCTCTTTCCAGTGTGCCTAGGTTTCCAGAAGTTTCCACTGGTAGGCTGGCCCACCATCTGGACACCCTAATGTCCCTACAGATTAATTTCTGAATCCACCTATTACGTTAAGACCTCTGTTGGAGTTCTGGTTATGGCAAACACCAAGCTGAAGCCAAGGGCAAGTAAGGCAGATGATTGTTCTGGAAAGGCCATCCCGCCAGGCAGCATGCCCACAAGTCACATGGTGGAGTGATGAGTCAGGAGAACTCAGCGGAATCAATGACTTATAAAGGTGAAGGAGAAAAAAGTGCGTTGTGTAACAGGTGTGAACAACAGCTGATGAGTTACACACTTTCTCACCTGACTGTTCTACCAAAGATTCCCAGACACCCACGTAGAACGGATAACTATGTGGAATCAATGTCTATGCCACACCTCTTCTTGGTTAAGTAAAATAATAGATTGACTCTTACTCATATTTGTATTCTGCTGAACCAACAATATATTTTAAGGCATCGACATAGAATACATTTATTTCATATCTGTAACTCTTGGGCTGGCTAGTTTTATGTCAATTTCAAACAATCCAGAGTCATTTGAAAAGAGGGAACTCACTTTAGAAAATACGCCCCCGCCCCCACAGCAGACTGGCCTGTGGTGCGTTTTCTTGATTGATTATTGGTGTGGGAGAGTCCAGTTCACTGTGGACAGGGTCACCTCTGGGCTGGTGGTCCTGGAGAGGATAATCAAGCCAGCAAGCAGCACCCCTCCAAGGCTTCTGCTTCAACACCTGCCTCCAGATTCCTGCCCTGACTTCCCTCAGTGATGGACTGTTATCTGGAAGTGTAAAATGAAAAAAAATGTTTCCTCCCCAGGCTGCTTTTGGTCATGGTGTTTTATCACAGCAATAGAAATCCTGAGACACCATTGTTTTATCCCTCACACTAATTCACCCAAATAGACTTTAGTGGGAGAATGCCTTTAATCCTTCAACACAGTTTTTAAACAGCAAATTATAAACTGAATAATTATCTTTCAGGGAAAATATCCTTTTTTTCCTCTGAGTGACTACAGGGGATCTTTATTTGATGTTGATTTTTTAAATTATAAAATTATATTCAAATTATTAATTATAAAATTAATATTCACATACTGATGGAAGGAGCAAGTAGGGTAAATTAGGGTAGGACAGCAGCACCCAGCAGAAGCTGAGCAGCATCTGTTGCTCCAACAAAGCCAAGTTTTCACCTTAGTGGTTCTTGTCTCTTAACCACAGTTCCGAGCTGAGTGGAACCACCGAATCTTAATACACAGTATCGGACAGGTCCAATTGTGAACTTAAGGGATTCTCAAACTCCCTCTGCAGCTTCACAAGCCTGGCCCTCGTTGTCTGCATTTCTCTCAATGTTTTTATCTTCCAAGCTCCCACAGAGCAGTCCTGAGCTCTGAACAATTAATGGCTTTTCTAGCCCAAAGTTAAAACGCCACCACAAATCCTCCCAAAAACGCATGGTCAGACCTGTCAAAGCAATATCTCATAGTAAGGTACCAATTTCCTGTCTTAGTTAGGGTTTCTATTGCTATAATATAACACCATGACCAGAAGTAACTTGAGAAGGAAAGGGTTTAATTCACTTTACTACTTGTAGGCCTCTATTCAGGGATGTTAGGGCAGGAACTCAAAGAAACCTAGAGGTAGGATCTGATGCAGTGGCCATGAAGGAGTGTTGCTTACTGGCTTGCTCTTCAAGGTTTGCTCAGCCTATGTTCTTATACAAATCAGGATAACCTACCCACCTTCATTTGGCTGGGTCAGCCTACATCAATCATTAATCAAGAAAATATACTACAGACTTGCCTACAAGCAATATAATGGAGGCATGTTCTCTCTCTCTCTCTCTCTCTCTCTCTCTCTCTCTCTCTCTCTCACCCCTCCCCTCTCTCTTTTTTTTGTTAGACAAGGTTTCTCTATGTACTCCTGGCTGCCCCGAAACTCGCGCTGTAGATCAGGCTGGCCTCTAACTCCTGAGCGCTGGAATTAAGTTGTGTGCCACCATGCCCAGTTTGGAGGCATTTTCTCAGTTGACGTTTGTATTCCCAAATAAGTGTCAAGTTGACAAGAAACATCATCCAGCACAACTCTTGAGTGTGCAAACACATGAGGTGTTCCTTTTCAGTGCTCACAAGCAAAGGAAGAGCTCAGAGAACCACATGACTCAACCCGAACACCTCTGAGAATGACATGGACGGGTGGTGACAATCAGGGTGGAACTGTAGGTTCCTGGCCTGCCTTCCAGCCTCACCACATACAGCATCTCCTCCTTCGTGCCCACCGCCTACACCATTTCTTTGCTAAAGCAACCTCTGTGCATTTCCCCCTGGAGTCTCTCTGTTCATGCTCCTGAGCTCGGGATACTCAGGGGCTTGCATTTTACATTTTTGTGATGTCCACCACCTTGTTACAAGCCTACGGATTCCGTGTGATTAGCACCCAGATGCTCTCCTCCACTCTGGACTGTGACATAGAGAAGATGGAACGCTGTGTGTTTCTCATCACTGTCCCTCTTCAGCTAGGACACGGTGACTACTCAGCTAATAGCCATGGAGTGAGTGAATGAATGAATTGATACTCCTCCCAGCTCTTGGGAAATTACCTTTGGAAAGTAATTTACTCTCTCACCACTTTTGTTTCTCTATCTGTAACAGGAAAGCAAAAATGCACAATGTTCAAAATCTATTTCCTCATTAGGTAAAATAAGGGAAAGTGATTGATAAGGCCAAGGCACAGACAGAATATATTGCATAAGACTGACCTGCTTGATTTTACAGTCAAGTCTTTCTTGTGTCTCCTTCACATCAGTGTTGACCTGGGGGAGAAAGTGCACAGCAATTGTTTGTCTTCAAAGCTGGTGAATGCGTGTACCAAATCTCCTTAATCAAACCTGAAAGTTGAGTGTTCAGATTGAACACTGGGAGTCCACACTGTCAAGGCAAACAGTCAGGTTGTACATGGGGAGTCCACACTGTCAAGACAAACAGTCAGGCTGTGCGTGGGGAGTCCACACTGTGAAATCAGAGTCCAGGCTGCACATGGAGAATCCGCATTATGAAATTGGAGTCTAGGCTGCACATGAGCCATCTCATTATGAAGGAAAAGAGCCCAGGCTGTACATGGGGAGTCCACACTTTACACAGAGCTTCTAGGATAGACACTGAGAGTCTGCACAGCTTTCTGAGCCCTGATTCCTCCAGCCACAAGGTCTGTGTATTTGGCCCAGCACTACTGGACTCTGACTCTGCATATATTGTATCTCCTGATGAAGGCTAGGTTTACATTCAGGGTCTCAGTCTTCTGCTGGACAGGCTGTTCCCCTGCCACCCTGGGACTCGAACTGAGCTTTACATCCAGGAACCTCCTCTACCTGCTATGGTGCATCTCTCCCCCAGCCCAGCCCAAAATTCTGACCTCCAGACATTGCCTGATCTGTTCTGATAACGGATGGGCCTCTGGTCCATTACTAATGTTGGTTCCCTAGAAGTTGACATACTATGCCCACTGCCCACATAAGTCCCCAACTGCTTAAAATGGTTCAATTTTCTTTCTTCTTTTACTGCTGAGATTGTCCAGGTTTTCTTGCTTTTATTTTGTTTGTTGTTTTTCTTGGAGGTCTTAAAGTTAACTGGAGGGAATAAGACAAAAGTTGAGGGGAACCCTTATCTACCAGCTTATTTTTAAGACCAGGCATTTGCTCCTCATCCAAGGTTTTTTTTTTCTGGTCTTTAATTGAGCCATTCTACTCTCAAAGGCATGGGTTTTTAAGCTGTACACACATGTTGTTTTAAAACAGAGAAAAATTATTTCAGTCTTTAAAGTTCTTCTTTTTATGTGTTCCTGAGAGTAACTAGTCTGCAGCTTTGGTTTTCTGTGGTTGTTGAATATTCATAAGATTCTGTCTGCTTACTGGATAATTATATTACATTAATATGGTATGAATAAATAAAAGCAGTAATTATGCTTTTATCCTGTTCTGTTTGACAATTTACAGTTTGCTTGTTTCAAGAATAAAAGGAAATTGCCACATTTGAAACAATATTATTTCATTTCTAAATGAGGAGGAATACTCCCCCTTCATGCAGACAGGTTAAAACAGAATGGATTCTGGCCCTTCTTAGCCAAGATAAAGATGCCATGCTAGCACTGTGCTGCTAACTAACACAAAGACAAAACTAGGTGAGGCCTTCAGAAGTCAAGGAAAGGAATGCCTCCCTCATGGGAAACCACACCTTTCTTGGAAGCTCTTGGCTTAGCAGCCATGCTTTATCAAGAGAGGAGGCAGATGTGGCCTGAGAAGGGCAGGAACTACCCACCCACTCTTCCTCATTAGGGCTGGGAGAAGTGATTATTCCATAAGGATGGCTAGATTTCTGTGAAAAGTTTTTGGTTTTGGAGGTAAGAACATTGACAGCTTCAAAGCAAAGGACATTCAACTTGAGTAACAGTGCTGGGCCAGAATCTCAGTACGCAGCAAAGCTGAGGCTGAAGTATCTCAAAGTCAGCCACAGTGAGATATTTTCAGGGAAATGTAAGTGTGTGTGTGTGTGTGTGTGTGTGTGTGTGTGTGTGTGTGTGTGTGTGTGTGTGTCTATATAGAGAGAGTATCTTGAATTTGAAAATATTTGAGAACTGGGGCTACAGTGTGTCTGTCTACATTTCAAATTTAAATATGTTTGCAATATTTTTAAACAGGAATGTGAATGAAGGTGTGAGATATTTGAAGTCTTTTATTCCTTCTTTGGAAAGCACAGCTGCTTTGGTAAGTAGCTTGTTCTTACAGCAAATCAACAGGATGGTTTTAACAAGGCAGGACAGCAGCATTCCAGATGAGCCCTTGAGGGAAGGACACAGCTCCACTTTGAGTTGTTCCCTGGGACGCTGGTGTCCAGCCTGTGAAATCCTACTTCACGTAGGAAAAAAGATGACCCAAATCATAAGCAAGACAATGCTTGGTGGCCGCACTTGAAGCATACTTGTAAATGGCTCAATATCGATATGAGAGAACATAACAAGTGGGGTCTCCCAGTGGAGAATCCCGGGTTCAATGCTGTTTAAGCACTTTCATCAATTTTCTGAATGATAGGAAAGAGAGCAAGTTCATTAAGTGCACAGTGTACCCGGGCTGGGAGCTGCAGATAACACCGCGGAGAACAGGGCCAGATTTAATCAGGACCCTGAAATCTAACTCAATGCGTGGTCAAGGGAGACGGGGACACAGCACAGACGGTCAGCCTGCGCTTCCTGGGTGGGCAAGGGTTCACTGTGGTCCTGTCCTTGCAGCAGGTACCCAGAGGTGCCACGAAGCCCACCAAGAGATAACGAGTGGGGGGCTAAAGACCAGCCAGGGGGACAGCCGGACGCCTCCTGCTGTGTTTTTATCTCCGAGGCTCCACGCTGAATCTGAAAATGACGGATGTGAAATTTGATGGAAAAGGACCTGGACCTTAGACTCAGAACAAAAGTGACGTAGTGGAAGTGTTTGGTAATTGGAAGGAAAGGAACCCGGAAAATGAGGAGAAGCCACATCGAAACTGTTGCACAGTCTGAACAAGGAAATGGCAACTAGTGAGGCAGCCACCGGGAAAGCTGGAAGGCCGTGTGCATGCTTTGCTTTTGTTCGTGGGTGTGTTTTGCTCACTGCTGTTGGGTTTTTCTCCCCGCTCCGCACCCCCCCCCCGCCCCGGCTGTGGAGGAGACACTGTTTCCCAGGGTCTGTCCCCCTTCCAAAAGATCACAGGCACATTTGGGGAGGTGGCTTGGCTATGTTTTTGAGGGTGCAGACTCCTAAGCTGGGGCTGCCTGGCTTTTCCACCATCCTGCTCTACCCTCTGAAGAGGTGACACACCAGGGCTTAACGAGCTGAAAGGGATTCCGTAGAGAGCAGCAGAAACGATTAAAGACTCGGAAAATAGGAGCTATGAAGGAAGATTAAAGGATCTACGCTCACTTAGCCTGGAGCTGGGAGCTGACCTAATAGCAGCGTCTTCAGGATGTGAAGGGCTATCATGTGGAGGAGGGGACCAGCTGCTCCCTCTCCTAGAAGAGGGGGCAGAGAGGAAGCAGGCTTAGGCTTCGATGGGGAGGGTTAAGAAGTGTTGGAGAGCTTCCTTCAGGGAGGGCTGGCAGCTGAGATGTTAAGGGCTTAGCCTCCCCCAGGGTGACCACTCTGGAGAGGCCCCATCCCATCAGATACAGATTGTGGTGGCTGCTGTGCCACCACGAAACGTCCCATCCTGCATTGGCGTTTTTGTTGGTTATTGGCTCGGTTCTTTGAAAGTGTCTGTGCATGGGGAGGTTGACAGGAAGAGCAGACGACACTTGCCACAGCTCACAGAGGTATAGTCACTGTCCATATACCAGAGAACTCCGACTGCAATGACCAGCAGGGAGCCACCCAGAAACTCTTCCCAAGGAAGTGGGAGTCACCCTAGCCTTCAGTCAAACTTCCTTTTCATTAGCATTTGTTCGTTTGATAAAAAGGATGTTCAGTGCATGACTGAGTGTGTGTGCTTGTGTGTGTGTGCGTGTGTGTGTGTGTGTGTGTGTGTGTGTGTGTGTGTGTGTAGTTGTTGTGGAGGGGATCCCCCCACACAAAAATATTTCAGATTTCTAGACTCTGAATTATTATCAGCTATTACTCTGGTGTGTTTTTTTCATTAGCCCTAGGCACAAATAATTGCCACGCCTCTGCAAGGGTGCTGCCGAGAGTGAATGTCTGAACTGTACCAGTGAGACACATGCTCTGCGTGCTGTGCTTGCAACAGGAGGGCTCCAAGTCTCACTGTTAAACCCACTCCCCTCGCAGACCCACTGCTGACGACAATGTTCGCGGTGCACGTGTTCTGTCCTGGAAACAGAAACGAGTGTCCCGTCCCGTCCCCCTGGTGGCCTGTCTGCCTTCACCTGAGAATAAAGGCAGGAAAATAACACCCAGGTCCTTTTTCTCTTATTGGAATGTGAGAGCAGCCTTTAACTAAATGGGCCTGCCATCATCAAACACTTTGAAAACTGAACTTACAAATGGCACTTGGATCTTTCCTCCTGACGCCGTGCTGCAGCTGTACCAAAGTCCTCAGTGTTCCTTTGCCCTTCTGTGTCCTTCCGCTCTTTACAAATTCTCTTTCTTTTCTTGATACCTTTCTGGAGAACTGTCTCAGTCTTCAACCCCAGCCCTTCTTAACCTTGAGTTATCCAGGAAGCCAGTTACCCATTTACAGGCCTACGTAGGGCTGACTGTAATTTCTCAAACACCCGAGTATTTCTCCTACAGAACTGCGGGGTGCCGAGGCCATGCCTTCCCCAAGCGGCATTCTTACTGTCTAAAAGAGCCCACCATCTCATAGAAACTCTGATACCAGGGAATGGGTTGTGGAAGTGGGACGGATTGGAGAAAGGGATGGACAGAAGGGTGGACAGTGAGCCAAGAGTGAGTGCGGTGGGTGGGTGGGTGTGTAAAGAAGAACTGGATGACAGAGGGCCGAGGAGATGTTTAAACGGTGAAGTGATGATTAAGGTGAAGATGGGTGGAGAAGATGGATGGATGGATGGATGGTGGAGGGGTGGATGATGGTAAAGATATGGATCATGGCAGAGGGATGGACCAGTGAATAGTCCTAAGTTTTGTGAATGGGGCCTTCTGGGCCAAATATTTCTTCACAAAGTCTTGTCTCTCGTCCCAAATGATTTCATATATTGAAAGGCCTGAGCTGTTCCACGGCAGCAGGTTGACTGCATCATCGCAACTGTTTAACTCACGTAATTTTGGAACCACATTCTGCTTGTTTTAGAATGAATATGTTTTTGCATCGATTCGGTCTTTCCGTCTCCCACACTAGCACCCACGTCAGATCCCGAGGGCTCACTGTGGGGTCACAAGTGGTGACAGGCGCTGAGTGGAGAAGGGAGCTTTGTTAGCTGGATGGTGGGAGGCTCAAAGCACTCTCAGAGCCACACTCGCTGCTTTTCTAAGGCAATTGAATTTTGACGCCTGACAGGAGTTTTGAACTTTTATCGGCCTTGGGAAGGAAGGCATTCTGGAATGTCATTTTTTTAATATGTATATATATATCATGAACAGGAATCAAGGTATTTTTTATGAACCATTAAGAACAGTATATTTGTATTTCTGATGCCTTCTTTAAGTCAGAGAAGAAGGGTTCTTTTCATCCTCAATACAGGTTTTCAGAAATAAATCAACTTTAAAAGGTTAACAAAAATTTCAAAACCATTCTCTTCTCTTAGAAGTTCAAGTTGATACAATCTCAATTCCATCAAAATACGATTCTTCCTGGCCAACTTTATAGACAGTGGCTTTCCCCCGGCTGCTCCCTTTTAGCCTGTGAATGACTTCTTTCAGTGGAGAATGTTGCTATGCAAACAGCCTCTGAAGTTACAAAGGGGCACCAGTGACTTGGGCTCCTATTTTAGATGTGGACAGTGGCCGGTCTGATGCTGTTTGAGCAGTCTGCCATTAAAGTAATTGTGATGAATGACACTACACAAGTTGTTTTCTTTAAGAACACCGCAAAATCAGGAATAATACTACTTTTAGGAGATTATCTACCAGCAGATAAAAACATTCAAGGTTATAAACTAACCCACTCCATGTCCTTCTATCCAACGGATAGATTTTTAGATACCAGATTTGTGTTATCTGCAATCTTACGTTGCCTGGTAGTCATAAACTATGACTAACATCATGCAGTGCTCAAAGAGTTTTGATAAATAGCAATATAGTGTCGTGTAAGGTTCTTTAAATAGCTCCCTGGGGAGTGGAGCAACAGGAAACAGAATTGTAGATTCTAGGGTTGGAATTGCTTCTCGTTTACCTAAATATTTACTTAATACAACAAATATCAGAATGAATATATCACTCTTGGTTCTCTGGAAAACAGACAATTTGGAGTCAGTGCTGTGTGAGACATTAAAGACATTTAGGTCTTGGTAAAGAGATCACTATATCTTTTTTTTTATAATTTTGAAAACAGGATATGCTCACCAATGAGTCTCCTAAGCACAGAGAATCCTCTGTGTACTGAAAACAGGCCTACTTTGCTCCCGGTGGAGTGAGTACATGTCACACGAGACTCCTTTGTGCTCATCTTACCTGGCGGTGACTGGTGTCCCCTCTCCATTCAGATCTCCCCTGCCCTGAACATCATGGGCACAGTAGGACCTCCTGCTGCTCCTTGGCTCCTGCCTCCCCCTTTTCCTGCAATTAGTCTCCAGGAGGGGCTTTTTCGTTCCAGTCTCATCCAGGTTCTTCGAGAAGATGCATGTGGTCATGGAGTGTGGGCAAGTGCCACTGGTGACAGGTAGGCAGGTGATGACAGCAATGTCCTCTCAGTTCTAATAAAGAAGAGCTAATAAAGAAACGACAATTGTTTGAGGACATGGGTATGCTTACCCTGACGCAAGCACTACACAGTGTTCTCAGTTGCTTAAATGCTGTGGAGCAAGAAACGCTATACACAGCTTTTCTGTCTTTCTGTATCAGACAAAAATACATATAAAATGGAAAAGAAAAGCAGAAAGGCTTTTACAAAATAAATGAATGTATACAACCTAAACATTCTTAAGAGTAAAACCAAGAGGCTTTCCTCCTCCCTCGTACCCCTCCTTCTCTACTCCAAATCACTGGGTTCCCTTCCAGCTTCACCCTTCTGCCAAACCCCTGTTGCTAAGCATGATGGCTACCTCCTACTGTGATCAAATTGACTAGCTCTGGCTCTGCCCAAAACTTGATATCTGTGGCATGTGGCACTCACCCACCTCAGGATTCCCCCTCCCCACTCTGCCTCCATCCATCTCTATGTGGGATTATGGAGGTTAGGGCCCTGAGCTACATCCAAACAGCACAGGGCCAGTCTGCTGGCCTCCCTCCCTCAGACTGGAGCACTCGAATGTCTATGAAATGCACTGCTGAGTTCAAAAAGCTGGATAGGGAAACAGCATGAAAAAGAAAGAGGTTGGGGCCCAGTGATGCCTCGAAGGCACCCTGTTCCTCTGAAATGCCATCCACCTAGCCTGCACCCAGCTTCCTGCTGAGGATAGGGTGTGCTAAAGAGAAGTCCCTGCTGGATCTTTGGCTGCACTCTGTCTTCATTTCCTCTTTCTTTCCCTGTCCACGGCAAACACAGCCTGCCCCTTGGTTTATGACCTGTGATACAAGAGCCAGAGGCAGGCACCACACTCAGTGAAATTCAGCCCTTCGCTTCTTGAGAAAGGACGGGAGCTCTTCTATGTGAGCGATGGCAGGTTAGCTAAACAGAGGGTGTGGGCGAGTGCACAGAGGGTGGAAGGCGCATGTGGTTTGGGACCTCACATTGCTTGTACCACGGTTGTCACTGGAAGATGCTCATCTCTCGTCCTCTCTCTGTGTAAAGAATTCCCCACAGGGGGATACATTTAGGAAATGGGCAAACGCAGGCAGCCAGCCCATCCACTGTCTGCAGGCTTACAACAGGGATGTATTCATACAGAGAGGAACACTGAGGTGAGAAGGACTTCTCCGGCCCCAGCAGCCAGCAGCCACTCCAGGGGAGCAGGTGTAAGCCCCAGCAGCTTCCATGGAGGGCCAGCATCCTCATCCACAGCACCTGATGCATGACTGGGCCATCTCCAGCCTCCTTCTCCCTCTCGGGACTGTGTGTGCTGCATCCCAACTGATATCCCTCCAGGGCTCTGTCCTACCACAGGCATGGGGTATCTCTGGAACCAGCTCCTGGAACTACCACTCCCTCACCACAGCTCTGCGCTTCTAGAACCCTCCCTCTCGCTGATGCGAGGAGATTTTGTATGTATATCAAATGGGCTAGTCCAGGTTGTGGGTACCAAAAGCTACGGGTGCTATTGAGACCTGATGAAATATGCTAATTAACAAAATGAAATGCCAAATAATTAGAAAAGGTAAAACGACGGGATAAAGGGATTGCTTTAAATAAAATTGACAAACTACCATCCAAAGATTCTAAAGATGACCCTAGCTGTGCTCTGGTCATGATTAGCTTTTTTCCAAATAAAAAAACCCAAAAGCCCAACGCGGTGTTTGCCAGTCTCCGACTGAGGCTGCTCTCAAGCTAACCACTTGATGTCAGCTGGCTCACAACATTCCCGAAAATGTAACATTTGGCTCCCTTGCCCCAGGAGGTGCCAACTCCAGCATGCACCAAGCCACCGTGGAGTACGACTCGTGAGGTTCTGAGAGATTAGCACATTTCTTAATCTCCACCAGAATGCAACCAGGAGGGTGGCCAGGAAGCATGGAGCTACTGAGTCAGCCTGGCTCAAGTGGTATTCAGGTCACGTCAC